GTCGGAGGTCAGTTCTCTGATACCAAGTGTTAGATATCAGCCAGCAATCAGAGACTTTATGAGAACTCTCTTAACTCATGTATATATCAAACACAGGAGCCGTCTGATGATATTACCAGCTTGATTAGAGAAACTCACACTTAACAAAGCTCCACTAACTGTATAATAATATTTGTCATGGAGAGGGATTGAGAAATAAAGGCACTGCGTTTGGATTAGCGATTTAATTTTATGTATAGAAAACTATTTTACTTTATTGAATGAAGTTTGGTTACATTAAGTAAAAGCGGCTGGTATAAAGTGGAAAAAGAAACACAAAACATACAGCATAAAAACGAAAAGTGAGCACAACCCTTGATGGGGTTCAACTATTTGAGACCAGGCTCAGATAGCCTACTGAGACCTACTTAGTGAAATCATGGCTGGAGCACTCAGAGTAAATCACCTGCTGCTATTGAGATTACCCTAATGCTCAGAATTCTCTAAATATAGAGAACTCTAATATACATAATGCTCCATCAATTGTAGTGCTGACAATTCGCTCCATTTGCGTGTGGGGACTGAACCTCTATAACCACAACATAGTTACATAGATATCCGTCCTATGATGAAATGAAAAGCATGTATTGCACAGGAAGCTATTTAAATAGGATGACAACATATTCCTCAAAGTGGGAACATAACATCTATGTAATATGACCGGATTTTTCAGCCACAAACATCTAAGTGGATTTGAACGATTCTAATGGGGATCAAGGTGGCATGCTTTTCTCTTTATTTTACGGTAGAAATATAGACACTAAATTAGAATTAGCATTTAAGCTAAAAAAATTACTTTAATGAAGGCATAGGGTAAAAATGGAAACACCTTAACCCATATTAAGACATTTTCCACCAAACTAATTTGTATCAAACATATAAGAACATCTCAAAGAAATATTGTTTGCTTTTATTTTCCATGTCATGATGCTACAGTCAAACCCTTCAGTGCATTTTGATTGAATTAGGTGTATTAGACAAATAGAAAAGTAGTACAAAAGTGGGCTTCTGTTTTATAATTTGTTGTGGTATCTCACTGTGGGACACGCCCCCCGAACTGCCTCAGAGTGAGATACCGCACATGTTTCAGAGAACCAGGGTTAATTCCTTAAACCAAGGCCTACAATTATTTTCAGCCTCCTCGTAATAAAATAAAGTCAAGGTCAGTCAGGTTCAATGAAGATCAGCTCTGATTTCCAAGTCTTGTCCCCAACTCTAAATTGCATTTAGATCTATATCGATTTAGACTATGATTGGCCTTTTCTAATGCAAGGATCAGCTCTGATCCAATCAATTCTGTGTGATAGGCTTTTAATGCAAATGGAATCTAAGCTTGTTGAATCTTTAGCTTGATTTAGCTTGATCTTATTATGTAATCTGTCAAGTTTCCTCGCTAAAGAAAAGAATCACCAAAGCCTGAATCCTGAATGTCCATCTTTAATGCTGGGGATTATTTATTCACACTATTCCACAATCCTGATGTCAAAGCTTCATTGGTTTTTGTTCAACAAAGGTTTTGTTGTTGACAGTTACACCTAGAGGGTCTGATTTGCAAAGCTAAAAAGTTCCCTGTCAACGCATCCCTCTGCAACTCCTCCAGAGTTCCAGTGGACCTCTTGACAGTTGCTCTATAATAAATGCTTTCCTTGCTCTGTCATTTTGCCAGTCACTTTAGAATCAAAACTTGAGATATTGTTTTCTAACCTAGACATGTTTCAACCGTTACGCAACCTTTCCAAAGTTCAGAGGCTTTCCTTGAGCTAGTCAGAGATAAAATAACTCTTGGCTAAACTTCATTAGTTATTTTATTCAGGCGACTTAAAGCACTTCACTAGATTTTACTCATTGCTACCAGATAAGGATTATGTAACCATATATATCCCATGTCTCTAATCGTTTTATTTGTTAAACTGCTCAAAAGCTATGAATCATTTTTCCTGCAGTACATTAATTTCATCTGTCACACAGAATCCCATAAAAATATACCATCAGAGATTGCAGTAAGCCAGAAATATGAAAAACATCAAGGTGTCAAAGATGAATACCTTTGCAATATTGTAAAACAACCCTTTAGCTTTCCCACAGATCTGAACTGGTGTTAGTCACACTCTTATATATGGCCCGGCATGTACCCTGGGAAATGACTAACAGCATAACTATCTGGGCCAAACCCTTAATTTATTCCACATGTTATTGATCAGTCTGTTTCTGGGGGTTGGCTGAGAGTAGGTTAACTATCACACTGCTACAACAGATTTGTCAAAAAAAAAAAAAAAGTACAATTAAATGGGCTAAAGTTAAGTCTCCTAGTTTAACAATGTGTTTTTGACCTGGCACCCACTATGCTATTCCATTGTTAAAGTGTCTTGGTTGATGTTCTAATGTCAGTAGTTTATAAAATGTGGACCGCAATGTTCTCCCACTCCTGATAAAATTCAAGGAGGGATTTCACAATCCTAGTCAGCAGTAAAAGATATCGCAGGTCACTTAGGGTCACCTGGATTGTTTTGGCAAAATATAAATGTTGGCCGACGACAGAAGCAGCAACATAAGAATTGAAGCCACAAAATGCTAACAAAGTCTTCTGTTGGAAAAAAAAGGGTTAAAACTTTCATTGTTTCCCTTTAGTTTTAACTGTTTTGCAGGAAAAGGTCAGACTCCCAGCTTTGGCGTTTGAAACTGGCCAGAGTGAGTCACTGCATAAAAATGGCATGTCACCGTAATGAAAGGCACAGAGCAGCAGCACACTGTGGCTGTTCATTTCAATCACATAATCTACACTGTGGGCAGAATTTCAGAGACAAAAACACGGAGGACTTCAGCGGCATGTCTGGGATGTCATTTAGTTTAATTGCCGCTGCTGCTATGTAGGGGTGAAGCTTAAACTGTCCCCTCAAGCATGAGAAGTCAGTCCAATACTTTTAAACTGTTTCCTGATTAAATACTGCAGCTTGCATTATAGAAGAGATTCAAAATGGCAAAGAACAACATCAAAGGCTTCATTGGAAATGAATCATAGCTCTGTTTTTTTTTTTTTTTTTGTATTAGCAATGAAACAAAAGAACAGAAACGGAGAGCATAACATTGAAAAAGTGAAAATGAGAAACTGAAAAAGAACTGTCAATTGAAATATCTTACCCTTCCAGAATTATACAGCATGAAGATAGAAGGTACTAAATGCTACATATTTGAAAATCATGACTGTTTTTAACACGGCACATCAAAGTAAAGGTTAAGGAATTGCTAAATCCTCTTTACAATTTTTGGTTAGACAAACCAAGGTTTGTTCATTACGATTTTCATTCAAATGCTCTTTGACAGTAACAACATTCAGCCAGTTTAATGCATGGAGTTGGTACATGGACAGCAGATGTCAGCAGTGCACTGCTGTGTTCATATCAAAGAGACACCAAGGGCAAAGCTCCAAAGTCAGAAGGTAAAATCGAATGTTGTATATTGATTGTAAGTGCATACCATATGTATTGTCAGCTGCTGAGATGAAATAATACATAACATGTCTATGATGAGCTTTGTGATGGTGTGTTTAAGTTATAGAACTTTCTTTCTTCTCTAACTGCAAAGCAACTTTATTTCCTGATGATTAACAGATCAAATCAAGGAGCCAAGACAGCTAATTGAAACCAGATCTACTGTCACGTGGGATTTCAAACACACCCAAAGAGCTACGAACAACCTTTTCCAACTTACTATTTGACTGCCGCTTACACCCATAACAGACAACGCCCCGGGCAACCTCTCCCTTTATACATTCTTAAAGCTAAAAAGTAAAACTGATTTGACAGAAAATAATAGTTTCCTTACCTTCTAAACTAAAGTATTCAGCTATTTAAAATCTTGTACATCAAATAAAATATTGCTCATATCATATTTCATGACAATACAAGTTTCAGTTCAGCAAAGCAATTGACAGAACTCTGTGGTTCTTGATTGTGGACTCTGTTTACTTTCATTTCCACACCAAAGGCAGAGGGCATAAAACAGTGTTATCACATTACCTATAGAACTCCACTACCTTTGCCTGGCCATTACAAAAAGTATGCAGGTGGTGTATTTATCTCTAATAAATGACAGAGAGGATAAAGAGAAAAACAACTATGTGATGTCAACCCAAGTCCAGAACACAGTATTACTGATGCAAAGCTCCCACAAGCACCACACCTTCCTCCCAGTTCAGCTGGGCTTTATCTCATGCACAGCAATGTCTGCAGAGAACTGGTGAGATTGAATCTCAGCAAACAACCCCACCTTATTGGTCTGACGACACTTCCAAATAATCCCTTTAGCAAATTCTCAGAGATGTCCCAAAAGATAACACATCGTAAGAGTAAACATGCCTTGACACAATAATCATCAGAGTTGGAGTCCCCACCCAAAATATGTAATCGTTTTGAGAATGTGTTGATCTTCAATAAAAAACTGAGTTTTTCACAGGAACTTATTAACTACAGGATAAGTGTCTGGTTAATGAATAAATGTTACTTTTATATCAGTGCAATAAACTTTTAAAAGATGTAAACCTGAAGGCTTCAGCATGGCAAATACCCATAGTGCAACTTATTCCTCATCCACTTCAGAAATCATGATTAAATCAAAGCTACATGTCAATAGTCTATTGGGATTCATATACTGAAACAGTTTTGAAAAGGACAGTCTAAACATCTTCATTCATCTTTGTAATGTGAAACTCTTAAATAAACAGTATTTAAATCATGCAAAAAAGCACTTTGAAATAGACAGTCAACTTCCTGACTAAAGTATTTTTCACAATCTGCAGTGAAAGAAATGGAGGGGCAGCCTCAGTGCTGTCATTAAACACCTTGCCTAAGACCTCCCACAGTTCAAAGAAAGGTGGGAACCTGACTGCAAGAAAACACTCCATGTGCTCAGACAGATTAGGACAGCGGAGGAAGTAGGTCAGTTGTCATGCATGAAAAACAAACCTTCAATGAAGTTAGGCCATGTCTTCTCCTCTGGCTCCCCCAGTGAGTGGTCCCAGTCAGACTCAGGTGAAGCTCCTTGCACCTTGACCCCTGCAGCCCCGGACAAAAGAGCTCGCTCTATAGCGATTTCCTCCAGAACATCCAAGTCCAGCTCCTCTTCATCCACCTCAGTCTTCACAGGTGGGGGAGGTGACTGCTCCCCAGTTGCCTGAGGGCTAACGATCTGCTTCACTTCAACTATCTCCTCCACTACTACTATTTTCTTCCTCATAGTGGCCTCGTCAGTGTCAACTATTTCAGACTCACTGATATCCCCAAGGTAAGGCTGGTCAGGCTGGACTGCGGGTGTGGCAGTAGCAGAGGGTGTGTCCTCCAGCAAGTCCCTCTTCTTATCTTCTTCGTGCTTTAAGGTCTCAGAGACAGAGAGCCTTTCCTGTGTGCTGCACTCTGCTGCCTGCCTGGCTGAATGTTGTGCAACTCTGGGAGGCTCTTCTTGCCTGGAGAGAGGGCTGGCCAGTGCCTCAGCTGACGCTAAATCTTCGGGTGCGGGTGCTTTCCTCACACTGGAAGATGTTTTTGCTTTCGGAACCTCCCGCTTGGTTTTTTCTGCAGAGGGCTGTGTTAGCTCCACCTCCCCTTTGTGTATAGGGGCCTCAGAGAGCACAGCTGCTGCCTGTCTGACTTCCTCACTGCACATTCTTTCAGGAATCATCTTTAAAGGAACTTTAGTTTCTGTCATTTCAGAGGCCAGAGGCCTATCCTTGTCCGCAGCCTTGGACAGTGTTGATATGTCAGTAGAATGCAATGTTTCTCCTTCAGTCATAGGGACAGACCATGCATTTTTAGTTTCTACTTCTGGTGACACAATTATTTTTTTCCCTTTTCCTTTTTTCTTCCCTTTTGTCGGCTTGTCTGTAATTTTCTCTGCACTCAGAAGAGATGTAGCCTCAACAGTGATTTCTGGAGAGTCTGACTGCTTTGCTGGTATTGCTTCAAGTTTTCCATTTTCTTGCATGTTCTCAACTTGACTCATTTTTTGCGCTGTCACTGTTTCCACACTAGGAGCAGTTGCTTCCTTGGATTTTGAGGGTTCCATATCAGGGAGTGTGGTCTTTAATTTCCGACACATCTGTTCCGGAGTAGTGGTGCTGACAATGATTTCCTCAGGTGTCTCTTTTACTTGCGCATCTGCTGTAGAGGATTCTGTTGATATAATCTCAGTTTTTACAGGGGCCCCCTTCTTTAGCTCAGCATCCACTTTTTTGTGGTCAATATCTGCTTTGTCGTCAGCCCTGATTTTGCCTTCTGTCTTTATTGAGGTGAACACAGTTAAAGACTCATTGGTAATTATTGTTTTTTGCGTATCTTCTAGCATCGCTTCATGGGTTTTTTCTGACATTTTCTTCTCTGCCTTTATTGAAAGTGGATCCTCTGTAATTGGGCTCTTAGAAATCTCAGATGAAACCTTTTTCTTTTTCTTTAATTTGGGGGTCTCTTCTTCTGCTGTGCTGACAATGATTTCCTCAGATGTCTGTTTTACTTGCACATCTGTAGAGACTGCTGTAGAGGTTTCTGTTGATAAAATCTCAGTTTTTACAGGGTCCCCCTTCTTTAGCTCAGCATCCACTTTTTTGTGTTCTATATCTGCTTTGTCGTCAGCCCTGATTTTGCCTTCTGTCTTTATGGAGGTGAACACAGTTAAAGACTCATTGGTAATTATTGTTTTTTGGGTATCTTCTAGCATCGCTTCATGGGTTTTTTCTGACATTTTCTTCTCTGCCTTTATTGAAAGTGGATGCTCTGTAATTGGGCTCTTAGAAATCTCAGATGAAACCTTTTTCTTTTTCTTTAATTTGGGGGTCTCTTCTTCTGCTGTGCTGACAATGATTTCCTCAGGTGTCTGTTTTACTTGCAAATCTGTAGAGACTGCTGTAGAGGTTTCTGTTGATATAATCTCAGTTTTTACAGGGTCCCCCTTCTTTAGCTCAGCATCCACTTTTTTGTGGTCTATATCTGCTTTGTCGTCAGCCCTGATTTTGCCTTCTGTCTTTATGGAGGTGAACACAGTTAAAGACTCATTGGTAATTATTGTTTTTTGGGTATCTTCATGAATCGGTTCATTGGATTTTTCAGACATTTTCTTCTCTGCCTTTACTGAAAGCGGATCCTCTGTAATTGGGCTCTTAGAAATCTCAGATGAAACCTTTTTCTTTTTCTTGGATTTGGGGGTCTCTTCTCCTGCTGTTGTGACAATGCTTTCCTCAGGTGTCTCTTTTACTTGCACATCTCTAGAGACTACTGTAGAGGATTCTGTTGATATAATCTCAATTTTAACAGGGCCCGCATTCTTTGGCTTAGCATCCATTTTTTTGTGATCATCATCTGCTTTGTCGTCAGCTCTGATTTCCCCTTCCATCTTTGTGGAGGTTAAAACTGTTAAAGACTCATTGGTAATTACTGTTTTTTGGGTATCTTTTACCATCGCTTCATCAGTGTTGTTTTCAGACGTTTTCTTCTCTGCCTTTATTGGAGGCAGATCCTCTTTAATTGGGCTCTTAGAAATCTCAGGTGATACTTTCTTTTTCTTTTTCTTAGATTTAAGGGGCTCTTCTCCTGCTGTGCTGACAATGATTTCCTCAGGTGTCTGTTTTACTGGCACATCTGCAGAGACTGCTGTAGAGGATTCTGTTGATATAATCTCAGTTTTAACAGGGGCCCCCTTCTTTAGCGCAGCATCCATCTTTTTGTGATCATCATCTGCTTTGTCATCAGCCCCGATTTCCCCTTCCATCTTTGTGAAGGTTAAAACTGTTAAAGACTCATTGGTAATTACTGTTTTTTGGGTATCTTCTAGCATCGCTTCATCAGTGTTGTTTTCAGATGTTTTCTTCTCTGCCTTTATTGGAGGCAGATCCTCTTTAACTGGGCTCTTAGGAATCTCAGATGATGCTTTCTTTTTCTTTTTCTTAGATTTGGGGGTTGCTTCTCCTACTTGTTTGGAGTCTTTACCCTCCTCTACTCTAACAGCATTTTGAGTGGAAAGAGATGCATGGGTCACATTCTGCACTAGCCCCTGACCAAAACCTTTAGAGACCTCCTCTGGCTGCAGCATTTCATCCTTCTTGACAGGTGAAATCCCTGTAGGACTATCGACATCCTGCTTAATGTTTGTCTCCGTAACATCTACATTCTTTTTGCTCAATTGTGGATCTTCCTGTTTTGTTTGAGATACTGAAGCACGTTCTGCATCATGAGTAGTGTTAACTACATTTGATGAGGATTCTTTTACTTGTTCAATTTTAGGAGGAGTGCCATCAGTTTCAGGTTTTGCCCTCAGACCTGTTAAGGTTACTTCCACAGGATTTTGGGTCATTGTGACTTTGGAGACATCAACTGCTTCATTATTGGTCCCCGGTGGGCTGCTGGTCTGGTCATCATTATTGGATTTGATGCTCCTCTGGTTTACTTTGGCATTTTTCTCTTTGTTACCATCTTCTTTAGCTTTCACTAGAGTCCTTTGTTCAGGTGCTTTAACTGATTCATCAATCACTTCTTCGTTGTGCTTTCGTGGATCAGCATCAACCAGTTTAGTCTCTTTAGAGGTTGCAGAGCCAGAATAAACTTTGGATGTTTTCTGAGCGCATTCCATTGTATCAACCGGTTTGGGCTTTGGCATTTCATTGACTGTAGCTGTGACAGTGGCTTTAACTAGTTTTGTCTTGTCTTCTTTGACTTCTAAACTCTCAAGCTTTGTTGTAGATGGATTGGTGCCTTCAATGAAATTCAAAGATTTTCTTTTAGTAATCTCACGTTTCTCAGTATTTGTAATGTTGACATGTGTTTCAGCAGAAGAGGAGCTAACTGCCATCTTTGATGTCATTGCACCTGCAGCCACACCAGCAGCAGCCAATGATAATGGCAGGGCCACTGAGGAGGAGATCACAGTGGCCTGGGACACATCCTGCTTCAAAGCTGCACTTTGAAGAGGAACAGACCTGTAGTTCCTCATCTGAACATCCAACATCTGACTCTCCTGTGAAACTACCTGCTTTTCATGTCTTACATTAGAGCCCTGATGAGTTGATCTTTTTGTGTTTTCCACCTCTTTCTCTGATTCACGGTAGAAGCTTGGTCCTCTCTTGTAGAGAGGTTGATGCTGGTCCCTAACCTCCTGTGATACCTTCGAACACACTGGCTCTTCAGTCAGTGGACGACCCCTAAACCTAGGGGTCCTATCTTCGTAATTCCTTCGTTCTCCTGGATCCATAATTTTACGGCGGTAGCCTTGGCGTTCGGTTAATGCTTCTTGGCTCTCTGCTTCATCCCTTCGACCTGGCTTGGGAACGTAAGATGTAGGGCCTTGGACAGACTGGACACGGTCAGCACGGTGGGCAATGTCCAGAGTAGCAGCTGGTTTTCTAACCCTCTGAAGAGAGGCTGGAACAATCTCAGCAGGCAAGTGGAGGTAGTCACGCAGGTAAACAATGCCATCATTGGTCAGGTACCAGTAGAAATGTCTCCAAGCAAATGTTTCCCTTACATAACCTCTAGATTTAAGAGAGCCCATCGCCCGGATTACTTGGAGATTGGTCACATCTTGTACTTCAGGGTGCTTGATCTGAGGTCTTTTGTCCTTCTTAGCCACCATAACACCATCTCGAAATAGGACTTCATAGATGGCTCTTAGTTCATGAATTGGCATCAGCATTCCAGCAACCATTGTGCTTTAAGTCAGTTACTGGCTTTATAGTAAAATCTAATGAAAAAAAAAGAGAAAAAAAACTTGAACTCTCGTATTGCTATTTCAGGTCTTGTTTTGGAAAAGAATCCAGAGGTAAAACTGGTTGTCACCTGCCTCACAAGTCTATTCAAAATAGTTGGAAAAATCAAAGCAAGTTTTATCTTACTGTCTCTTCTTTAGGGTCTTGCAAATCCTTTAGTTCTTGTGAAGAAATAAAAAATCCCTCCTTTGAAAAGTCAAAGTGTGCTGTCCCTTCCACTCTTAGAATAGCCGGACATGGACAGTCTCTGTACTGCCGAGATGGCAATGACAGAATGGAAGAAAGGCAGCGTGTGTGTGAGCGAGGGAGGGAGTGAGGCAAACTTCACAGTCTGACTCCACCTACCTTCTTAATCTTAGAAAAAAATGGGCCTGGAAAAAAGTTCTCACCAAACAAAAAAAAAATGAGGAAGCCGGAAAAAAAATGGTCTCAAATATACCTATTACAATTTAGACAAAGTAAAACGTGTGCAGCAACACATCTAAAAAGTGTGTTCTAGCACATGTTCTGCTTCTCTGACTCTCACAGAGACACCCACCCACAGAGGAAAACACGCCCCCCAATTCAACACACACATGCACACCTCTACAGTACATGCCCACTCCTGTTGGCTAAAGCACACCCTCTGCTGTGTCATACGACAGTCCAGTGAATGTGTTACAGATATAGTAGAAATGAGAAAGTGAGATGAGGAGTTGTCCCGTCCCGGGGCAACTGGCTGCACATACATACACGAGTTCAAGGTGTCCAGTTTTACACATTTCCGCATCAGGTGTCACTAAAAGGTTTTGAAAACTAGGTGTGGCTTTGTTAATAAGATGGATGATGACGCTAATGTATATCTTAACATGTTATTTGGCTAAAAATTGGAAAGACTGATACTTCTTTATAAGAAAGAGGTAAGGGATTTAATACAGAGGCAGTTTAATACGTTCTATGCCTATTTATTTTGAGAGGGATGATAGAAGTTTAATGTTATTTATACATATATGTACTGAGAGTCTCCAGGCCCCCATAAGTAGAAGCACATACTATCTCCTAATGCAGAATATTAAACTGATGCAACAGTCAGTAAAGCAAGCTAAAGTTCATTTGCTGCCCCAAACTCCTAACTTTAGAACTACTATTTGTAAACCAGCAAAACTAAATAAAGAACTGTGCATTATAGCATTGCCTTTTCTGTTCTGCCTGGAACCAGATATCAGATTTCTGTCCCAAGATCCCATTTCTCATCTATACATCTGTCTCCTGTTCATCTTTCCCTGACAGAGAAAGCGTCTTGTCCCAGTCAGAAAAAAACTGGAAGGGAAACTGACAACTGCTTGGAGAAGAGTAGCTCATGTTCAGTTTATACTACAGAAAAGGCCGGGATTCTCTACGGAACACTACAGACAGACAGGGCTGGAGAGCAACACGGTGATCTAGTTGTAAAATTATAGTGGTGGTGAATGAGAGGCGAAGAAATAATGCAGTTCCCCCGCTGCTTGAAACCACACCATTACACATCCAAACAATGTTTTGCTTTATTTGCCATGGCAACAGTAAAATGAAGAGAGCCAAGAAAGACACTTATTCTCTCTCCAGTCCACAGCAGAAAACCAAAAGATACCTGAACAGACTAATAATAAGTTTGTTTAATTCCTTAAGAAACTTTTACTGACAAGAGTCTATGTCTACCAATATGATTTTTGAGCCAGTCCAAAAAATAGAACAACTAATCCGCTTAGGATGCCTTGACATGCTTTCATTCAGACTCAGAGATGATGCCTTAGGACACATCCTAAAACAATCCACCCCAGAGCAGACAAGATTAGTCTATTCATTATGCAGAATTTCAAAAGGATGGGAGGAGGTTGAAGAAGACAGGAATTCGAAGGTTTATTTATTCTGACAGAAAGGCATTCAGCATTGCGAAACAATCTATTGCTCACTAACTTGCTGGGAACGGCCTGACAATAAAGAGAAGGTTGAACCGGTGACAGGTTAAGAGATATAGTAAAGCTACAGGCAGCTTTATTAGATTTTTTGTTTCCTGGAGCATTTGTGGATAGCAAAGTCACGTATTTATTGTAAATTCTTCACTTTTTCTTTTTGCAGGCTGTATCCAACTTCTAATTAACGATGTAACTGTTAATGCAAGACTTCAACTAATACGGACTACTGTACAACGTTTAACAGTATGAATATTGGTAAATTATACGGTCCCCATGGCCTGTATTAAAATACATTTTTTGAAATAACAAGACTGGTTGAATAATGACTCTTTTTTGCTTTTTACTCTATGTTTTGGAGTAATTGAAATGTCAACCTGCTTCATGAAAGGGTTTAATGGAGCACTGAAAGAGCTTCGTGCGACGTGCTGGGATTACAAGGCAAAAAAAAAAAAGAGAGACCTGCATTATTTTTTGTCATTGAACTTGACTAAAATTTGGCCTGTTGCAATTTCATTAGTTGTGTAGTAGTTAAATTCAAATATATTCCACAATGTCACCATTGCAGAACATCCAGCAATCATTTTACTTCCTGGGTGGATTTTTGCAAACCTGCATGTTGTGGGATATTACCTGCTTACCTGTGATGATTTATGAACTACCTATGAATGGTTATTATCTCGTCTCTCCAGGTTTATGGCAGAGGTGTTTGTTTGACAGAGGCTTATCAATGTCTGGATCTTAGAACACTAACAACAGCTGCAGGCTCAAACAGAACTTTTAGCAAAGTATGCATGCAAACTTGGAAGAAATGAGTCCTGTTAATTGTTTTATTGATACTCCATAGCTGTGATAGTTCTGAGCAAGTGTAAAATGATTTAACAATTTTAGAAATGTAGTCTAGGTTCATTTTAGGTTGTCTCATCTAGGTTCAAGACAAGTTTAAAATTTGATGAATAGTCCACCTGTTGTCTATATTTAAATATATTTCTATATTCTGTGCAGGATTATTTCCAAACTTTTTTCTATATGAGATTTGTCTAGCACTTCTTCTATGCACTCTAAGCAAGTATCGCAGTAAAAAAAAAAACTAAAGTTGAGTAAAGGAAGATGTGACTGACAGAAATAGATTAAAGGACAAAGCTTTTTCTGAGCAACTTCCAAGTTAGGAATCTTTCTCTGCTCTTTCAGACCTCCCCAAATCCCAAAATAGACGTGTCACCACCACCTGATGGTGGCTCCAACGGATGGCTCAAAGCTGGCACATTGCCCAAAGTAAAGGCCCAGTGCATGAGGTGTTTAATGGTCCTACGCGTTCACTCTCCCTGTTGATATTAGATCCTAGAGATTGTAGCCTCTTCCAAAGAAGGCAAAGGTCAGAAGGTAATTTCAATTAACTGATAAAGCTTGTAATCTTTCTACTTTCAGTAACTCCGTTTACCTCCACCCCAAAACTTTATAAATGCTCCCAGATTTATGGAGATGTTTAACCAGAAGGACAAGGGAACCTTCAGGACATATAGTGTACCTGTCTACTTAGGAATTTTAATTATACCAAAGAACTTGAAGCACAGTTTGTTTCTCACGCTCAAGACTTATTTGAACCTTATGAATAAGAATGAACATTTTGGACGGTTTATTTTTTTTCCCAAACTAATCCTGTAAAATGACTGTTTTATGTCTTATCACCATCACCTGTAGATTTCTAGCTCTCTGTAAGCTGCTGTAAAGTATGGGTAAAAAAGGACAGAACCTGCCAAAACGTGAACACAAATAGATGTCTAAAATCGTGACTTGCACGAGGTGTTAAATGCCCCTGCAGTGTGCAAATGCTCCCTTTTCATTCAGTTGAACAGCCCTTGCTAATTTAAGGAGCTAGTCCTAAGATTGGAAATGGCGACCCCACAGTTGGGACAGGTGTGGCCTCTGAAAAGAACTCATGCAGGCACCTTATAAACTTGGTGATCCTTGTAAGGAACCTCTTTCTTTAAGTCAGACTGAATTTGTCTTCTTGATTTATCTTTTAAGATATGATACAGAAACTGACTGTTTATAGAAAATGAAAGTATTTATTCTGCAGGTGCCAAAAACAAGCTATAAATATAACAGAACAAAAACAGAAACTTAAAAAGTATGACAAGTATTGTTTTGCTTCCTGTCCACCAAAGCAGATCTTCTGTTTTCAGTGAAGGGTAAAATAATCCATCATGATGTAGGGAAGATTATAAACCACTTTGTCATGGACATGATACGTTCTGAAGCGAGTTGATAAAGCTGAAAAGTGGAAAATGTAGACAGAAATGACGCTCAGCATCGGAGCTCTCAGCCAAACATGACTGACAGGAAAAGACATCATACGAACCCGATTTGATTGTGTGAATGTTATTTATACCCATTTTTTTAGCTGGTTTGTTTTTTTTTATCTGTACTGTTTTGTGTTTTATTTATTCATTATTATATTGTTCTTTCTGTACAGCACTTTGTTCAGCTGCAGTTGTTTTTAAGTGCTTAACAAATAAAATTGGATTGGACAAAATGCTTATTTTGATATAATTTATGGCAAACTACACCTGCAATGTCTGGCTGTAATGTAAATGTGATATTTTGTTCCATTTTATAATTTCAACAATTATTAAATGTGCTTTTATAAGACTTTTGCATAAAACTCCATGAAAATACATTTAAATCTGACACAATAAGAAAAAGTTAAAAGGTTTGAATACTTTTTCACAACATGGTACAAATCTGAGCTAACCTTTGTAGTAGGATGAGAAGCTCCACATAAAGCCTTTATCACAACCTCAAAACAACCTTCATTCATGTCTGTATGGGTCAACATGAACAGGCATGACCCTGACACTACTTATACAGGAGGGGAGGTTAGCCTTTGAAATACAAGAGGAGTAAAGCCTCTGCAAATGGCTGAACCTTGGCCACCATTGGTATAATTACATTGAACTAGCTGTTTAGCCTAAGAGGCTAACAGTATCTCTCCTTCTGACTGTTGGTTGGCAAACAGTCTGCACAGTTGCAAAGGTCTGTGCAGCACATGGTTGGCAGGAAACACAAATGCTTGACAGCATAAATTTTGGCTTTAGAGATGTTTATGTTCTATGAACTGGCAGAAAAATTATGACCAGAAGAGAAAAATAAAGCGCAGTGAATGCAATAGTAAATCTTTAGAACTGGGGTTAACCATTATGGCTCCAAACAAAGCAGCACTGTCAGAGAGGAGGCGGTGAAAGAGGTGTTTTTTTGGCATTCTTCACTCTGTTGCCGAAATAAATAACCAACTCTTTGATGGCTGAGATGAAAACAAGGAGCAGAGTAAGATTGGAGCAGGAGGAAGCTTTGCTCTCTTCCTTCTGAAATCAGTCAAACCACTAAAGGAACTGTTCTTGTGGTTTTGCCAATCTAGGCTTTTATTTTTCTCTCTCATAAACATCTTCAGCTACTTGAATGTTCTTAAAGCAACTGCAGTGTAAGACATGTGTA